TTAGAACAATTAATCAGTAGAACAACTTGCCTCTAGAAGTTGTAAATGCTCCAGCACTGTACATTTTCAAGAGGAGATTAGATAACCATTTGTTTGAAGTGGTATAGGGTTTCCTGCCTAGGCAGGGGGTTGGACTAGATGACCTTTAAGGTCCCTTCCAATTTTGTTAAATTATTACAGGTAGTCGATTTATGACCATAGGTAAAGGTAAAGGTTCCCCTCGCACATATGTGCTAGTCGTTCCCGACTCTAGGGGGCGGTGCTCATCTCCATTTCAAAGCTGAAGAGCCAGCACTGTCTGAAGACGTCTCTGTGGTCATGTGGTTGGCATGACTCAATGCCAAAGGCGCACGGAACGCTGTTACCTTCCCACCAAGGTGGTCCCTATTTTTCTACTTGCCTTTTTTATGTGCTTTCGAACTGCTAGGTTGGCAGAAGCTGGGACAAGTAATGGGAGCTCGCCCCGCTAAGCGGCACTAGGGATTTGAACCACTGAACTGCCAACCTTTCGATCGACAAACTCAGCTGCATTTACTTAATGACTATGTGGTTCATTTAACTGCAGTGATTCACTTAACTGTGGCAAAAAATGTTGTCAAATCAGGCATGATTCACTTAACCACCTCGCTCAGCAAAGGAAATTCGGATCTTAATTGTGATCAAAAGCAGTGAACTTCTTGTATATGATCGAGATTGTTACAATCATTAAGTTTTTCAATCTATCCTATTTGTTGTCAGGTTATCATAGAAGATAGAAGTATTCCGTATAATCCAGAGCTATTTGGAATCACTTTAATGGAATCCAGTGTCCAGAAAGCACAATTGTGATTGGGTAAAGATCCTGGCATGAGAAAAAAGGAGAATTCCCAAGTGCCAAGAAGAATATTTTGGGACTCCTCCCTGTTTTAATTTCAGTGATTGCTCTGCTTTTGTATGTCAAAAACTTTTGGCATGCAAAAGCACCCACAGGATTAGTAATCATTCATCAAAAACATTCCAAAAGCTGAAAGTTAAATATGTAATATTGCGCTAGAGTTTATATAATTATTGTTAGGATTGTTTTGTGTAGTTTGACATCAAAAGAAAAGTGAGCTGACGTTGCATACTTTGCAAATACTAGGTGCCGTTGTTTATTAAATCTCAAGCCTTATTTGAAGGTCAAAGGGAGAATTGTCAAGAGAGGGAAAACTATAAAAAGTTTGGTGAGGATAAACTAGGATGGATCTCCTTAGTGCATGAATTGGACCCAGTGGTGAAATCCAAATTTTTTTACTACCAGTTCTGTGGGCGTGGCTTGATGGGTGTGGTGTGTCTTGGTGGGCATGGCTTGGTGGGTGTGGCAGGGGAAGGATACTGCAAAATCTCCATTCCCTCCCCACTCCTGGGGGAAGGATATTGCAAAATCTCAATTCCCACCCCACTCTGGGGCCAGCCAGATGTGGTATTTGCTGGTTCTCCGAACTACTCAAAATTTCCGCTACTGGTTCTCCAGAACCTGTCAGAACCTGCTGGATTTCACCCAATTGAACCACTTCATAGAGATATAAAAATTATGCAAACTACTCCAATCTGGAGTGGGCAAAAGCGCTCCAGATCTGAATGCAGGTAGTCCTTCACTTACACCCATCCATCTAGTGCAGGGGTCTCCAACCTTGGCAACTTTAAGCCTGGAGGACTTCAACTGGAGGAGTTGAAGTCCTCCAGGCTTAAAGTTGCCAAGGTTGGAGACCAGTGGTGGGTTTCAAATTTTTTTACTACCGGTTATGTGGGTGTGGCTTGGTGGGCGTGGCATAGCCTGGTGGGCGTGGCAGGAGAAGGATACTGTAAAATCTTCATTCCCACCCCACTCCAGGGGAAGGATACTGCAAAATCCTCATTTCCTCCCGATCAGCTGGGGGCCAGTCAGAATTTTTACTACCGGTTCTCCGAACTACTCAAAATTTCCACTACCGGTTCTCCAGAACTGGTCAAAACCTGCTGAAACCCACCTCTATTGGAGACCCCTGGTCCAGTGACTGTTCAGTTACAACTACACTGGAAAAAGTGACTTACAACCGGTCCTTACACTTACGACCTTTGCAGCATCCTCAGGGTCACTCAAAATTTCAGTGGTTGGCAACCAGCATATATTTACAATAGTTTATGACCTTCGCAGCCAGCGTCCAGCAAGCCAAGTCAGTGGGGGAAACCGGATTTGCTTCATGACCACATGATTTACTTCACAACTGGCAAAGAAGAGCCTTGGTAGTACAGTGGTCTAAAACACCCTATTATTAAGACCAGCTGCCTGCAATTACTGCAGGTTCGAATCTCGCCAGGCTCAAGGTTGACTCAGCCTTCCATCCTTTCTAAGGTAGGTAAATTGAGGACCCAGTTGTGGGGGCAATAAGCTGACTTTGTATAAATATACAAAAAGAATGAAGGCTATTGCTTAACGCATTGTAAGCCACCCTGAGTCTCCAGAGAAGGGCGGCATATAAATCAAATTTAAAAAAAAAAAGATCATAAAATTGGGTGCAGTGGAAAGGAACTTGGAAACTGCCACAGATCAGCAGCCCTGAAAGGTGAAACCTGGGCAAGAGGGAACCCAGTGAAGAGGAAGAGAAAAGGTCCTGACCCTGGCAAGAGAGCCAGCTGCCCCCCATCCTGCTTGGCAAAACAAAGCAAACTGAGATGATCCAAATAATCATTTCTCAACATTGGCAATTTTAAGATGGGCAGATCTCTATTTTCAGAATTTCTCATGGAATCGCTGGGGGAAGTCTGCAAGGTTAGGGGACTTTTATTACATTTATTAGTTATTATCATTTATTATTATAGGAGTTGAAGTCCACCCATCCTGGATAAGGAATTCTGGGAGCTGAAATCCATCTAAGCTGGTCGGGGAATTCTGGAAATTTATGTATTTTTAATATTTATTTATTAAACTTATATGATGCCTCACTTAAGAGGCGACTCTAAGCAGCTTACAATCAATTAATTCCCCAAATATAACATCAAGATTTGGGGAAGTGATAGTACTACTCAGGGGTGGGTTCTACTTACCTTTACTACCGGTTCGCAACGGGGCCCACGTGGGCGCGCTCTTCTTCGCAAGCGCATACGCAGAAGCATTTTGGTGACGTCAGGGTCAGTGGGCGGAGCCTCCTGCCGGTTTTACTACCGGTTCTATAGAACCGGTGCGAATTGGAGGCAACCCACCACTGGTACTACTCTATACTGCACTAGTAGGACCACACTTGGAATACTGTGTCCACTTCTGGTCGCCCTGCTACAAAGAAGATGCTGAGGCCCTACAAAGAGTGCAGAGAAGAGCAGATGTGGCGCTCCCATGAGACGCCCCTCCTGCGCGAGCTGCACTGGCTCCCGGTGGTCTTCTGGGTGCGCTTCAAGATTTTGGTTACCACCTTTAGAGTGCTCCATGGCTTAGGACCGGGGTTTCTACGAGACCACCTTCTGCCACCAGTAGTCACTCACAGACCAGTACGCTCCCATAGAGAGGGGCTTCTTAGGGTGCCGTCGGTCAAACAGTGTCGACTGGCGGCCCCCAGGGGGAGAGCCTTCTCTGTGGGGGCACCCGCCATCTGGAACGAGCTCCCCCCGGAGATACGGCGGATCCCGGATCAGCGCGCTTTCCGCCATGCCCTTAAAACTTTCCTTTTCCAGCAGGCTGGCCTGGCCTAACCTCTTTTTTAAATCGTTTTAAATCTTTTTTAAATTTGTCTTATAAATTGGGGTGTTTTAAATTTGTTTTCGGACCATGGTATTTAATATATTTTAAATGGTTTTTTTATATTTGTATTATGTGTATTTTATCTTGGCTGTTCACCGCCCTGAGTCCTAAGGGAGTAGGGGGATATATAAAAATAAATAAATAAATGAATAATAAATAAATAAATAAATAACCTCCAAGGTCCCTTCCCACTCTGTTACCCTTATGGGGAACTCAAACCCTCCCCTCTGGCTGGGGAATTCTGGGAACTGAAATCCACCCATCTTTAAATTTGCTGTGGTTATGAAACACTGACTGGCCTCAATCCAGCCATAATAAACTCTTTCCATTTAGCCTGGCTGGCGGGATGGGTAAAGCCACCGGCTTAACTGCTCGGGAGGGGGACATGATCGCTTCTCTATGTGGGGTGGTGAGGGAGAGACAAGCAAAAATAATAATAATAATAATAAAAAAATAAGGCGGCGCGAGGGGTCCAGGGAGAAGCGCGCGCACCCGGCCGAGGCGCGTCCCCGAGGCGCGTCTCCTCCCCCCCCACCCCTCCGCGCGCCTCTCCTTTTCCTCGTCACGAGGGCCGAAGACGGGAGAGGAGGAGGAGGAGGAGAAAGGGGCGGGGCTAGCGTGCGTGCATGCGTGCGCGCTCGGGGTGACAGCCTGTGAGGAGGCGCTGCCCCGGTTGGTCCTCGCGACCTGGCTGGGGCGGGCGCGCGCGCTCGCCTTCCTGTGTGTCCGTGTGTGTGTATATGTGTGGTGGGGGGGGAAGATGAGCAACCTGGGGTGGGTTTAATTACGCGCAGGCGCGCGCAGGCGCAGCTGCGAGGGGGCCGAGCTCGAGGCGGCTGTGGCGGGGGGTCCACCGCGCTGAGGGAGACGCGCGTTTGGAGAGTTCGGCCGCCTCTTCAACAGCCCCGGGACGGCCTCTCGCTCGCTCTCGGAGCGGAGGCGCGCGCATGCAGGCGAGCGTGTGAGGCGGACGGAGCAGGAGCAGCAGCAGCAGCAGCAGCAACAACAGCCCGAATCGCCGCTTGGAACCGAGCGGTTTGTCGGTCGTTCGGGCGGCCGGCCGGCCGGGCGGGCTGGTTCCGCCGCGGCCGCGAATTGTTCGTGAGGCGGAGACGCTGCTCTCCGCCCCCCGTTCCCTCCCGGCCGACCCTCACCCCGAAGCCAATATTCCCGAAATCAAGAGATACGCGGCGGCGGCGGCTGGAGCCGCGGGGCCCGTGGCGGCGGCGGCGGCGGCGGCCGGAGGGGACCGCGGCGAGGCCACCGCCGCCGCCGCCGTCGCCATGGAGGCGCTGGGACCAGGTGAGAGGCCTGCAGGTGTGGGTGGGCCCTGGGCGGGAAGAAGGGGGGGGGGAGGGGGCTGCCCAGATGGCCCCTTTTTCTCTCTTGCCTTTTAATTGGGGCGGGGCTGGAGGGGACTCGGGTTTCCTTCCCCGTGGAGCCTTCTCTGGCCTCTTCCCTTCGAGGGGAAATGGAAGGAGAAGAAAGGGGAAGCCGAAAACAGGTGGCTCAGGCTAAGGACACTGGGCTTGTCGATCAAGAAAGGCCGGCAGTTCGGCGGTTCGAATCCCTAGTGCAGGTCTTTAGGAGATTTTGGGGGGTTGGGCTAGATGACCTCCAGGGTCCCTTCCAACTCTTGTTACTGTTAACTCCGGGCACGTTGACTCCGCTCTGCCCCGAGGCCATGTGTGGGGCCTACAAAGGAATCCCCGTCGCTTTGCTGCCTTCCGTGCAGCTGAAGACTTAAACTTGGCCGTGTTTGTAAACACGCGCAGCACGTGATGGCTTCAAGGAGCCTGGTTTTAAAAAAAAAAATATTTTTTTTTTGCTTTCATTCTTGGGAGACGGAGAGGTACTTTCCCCCCAGCCGGCTGCTGCCCTTTTTTTAAAAAACCTTTTTTTTTATTTAGACCGCAACAACTATCATTTGTGGTTACCAAGCTGAAGACAGACCCTATAATTTCAGTGTATGTGGAGCGGGCGATGGGGTCATTCTGAGGACTCTGCATCACGATGTGAATGCAGTGGACAAAGGAAACTTTTTTATTATTATTATTTGTATCTATTTATTTTGTCAAGCATTTATAAGATGACAGATATGAGTATAAACATGATTATGAATACATGAAATGGATACACATAAATGGGGACATGAGGACAGGGATGCTGGTGCACTTATGCATGCCCCTTACAGACCAGTGGTGGGTTGTCTCCGGTTCAGACCGGTTCTATAGAACCGGTAGTAAAAGTGGAGGGAGGCTCCACCCACCGACCCTGATGTTATCAGAACGCTTCTGTGCATGTGTAGAAGAGCGTGCACGCGAGCGGCGCACAGCCCCATTGCAAACTGGTAGTAAAGGTAAATAGAACCCATTACAGACCTGTTAGGAATGGGGTGAGGTCAACAGTAGCTAGTCTTAGGTTAAAGTTTTGGGGGTTTGGGGATGAAACCACAAAGTCAGGTAGTGGATTCCAGGCATTGACCCCTCTGTTGCTGAAGTATTTTCTGCAATCAAGTTTGGAGCGGTTCACTTTAAGTTTGTATCTATTGTGTGCTTGTGTATTGTTGTGGTTGAAGCTGAAGTAGTCACTGACAGGTAGGACATGGTAGCAGATGATTTTATGAGCTACACTTAGGTCATACCGAAGGCGGCGTAGTTCTAAATTTTCTAAACCCAGAATTTCAAGCCTGGTGGCATAAGGTATTTTGTTGCGAGCAGAAGAGTGGAGGAAATATTTCTGGACACGATCAATTGTATTAATGTCCAATATGCAGTGCAGGTTCCAGACAGATGAGCTGTATTTGAGAATTGGTTTAGCATATGTTTTGTATGCTCTGGTTAGTAGTGTAATATTACCGGAGTAATATTACGTTTAGTAATATTATTCAATTTTATACTTAATATTAGTAGCATAATATTACATTTGTTCACCTATTCCTTTACTTCATGGCTTGATCGAAACCTGGTTTTAACAAAACACAGTTACCAGAGTTTGCATTGTGTGCTAAACTGTAGGCCATGGTTTATGGACCTCCTTGCTAAGTCCAAGACAGACAAACCACATAATAGCCTAAATGAAGTGCGAACTCAAATCTCTGGCTGGATTATTTAGACGGGGGAAAAAGTAGCACAGTGATATGACCAAACTTTTTAAGAGCAAGTTGCCTTGTGCTTTAGTTATTTTCTAATCTGCTTTTTGTTACCTTTTAGAATTTTTAATGGAACGCCAAGAAAAATATATTTTGAAAATATAGAGATTCAGTTTGTTCTGTTCAGTTATTTATTTATGCTTTAGCTTTTGGCCCAATTTTCCAAGAGATAATATTGAAGGGGATATATCTTTGGTTATGCCTGTATTGAAATACTTGTTTAAACATCTACTAAAAAGTATAAAAGCTGTCCACAAATTCCAGAAACTTCTGATTCCTGGTTACAATAAGAAATTGCAGAAGTTTATGATAAGAGTGCAGTAGTTTTTAGTAGTTTAACAACTTGTTATTGTGACTCTAAGGTTAGGTACAATAAGTGCAAATATATGTGTATCAGTTACATTGGTGATGATACTTTTTGACTCTGTGTACAACATGCTAATCATTAAAATATAATTAACAAATCACACTGGCTTGTGGCCACTTAGTTTTGGCTTAACCATTGTTATTTTTTAGCATGTCATAAGCAGAGTCTGGTTTCAATGATTCAAATGTCTAGGGAGATACTTAAATAGGGCTCTGGTAGTTAACTTTAGCAAAGTGCCTGAGATTCTTCCAACTGAATGATGGAGCAGTAAGTTTAGCATGATGTAGGAATTCCATCTGACAATTAAATATTAATGTGGACACTAAATTTAAAATCTTTAAGATAAGAGTTGGAAGATTTGTATTTATAAAGGCATTGCAGAGGTGAATTCTCAGCAATATGGTTCATGTTAGGATTGTTATTGGGCTTTTCATCTTTGATTTTAGCAATTTTCCTCACAATTTTTTTAGCTTTTTTTCCGTGTTCTGGTTTAGTTATAGGCAGCTGTATCAAAAGCTGGCCATTATAGAATGGACAGTGTGAAATGGAAATTCCCTAAATCAGTGATTAAGTAATAGGCACCATATATTTTTTTTTTTTGAGATGATTTTGTTTGAATAAATATTCAGGTTCTGACCTTTATATCTGTAATTTTTATAAAGGGTAAGTTGAGTGTAAGTTTAGTAACATTCTTAAAAATCCATCTCATCCTGGGCACCCTTTTTTTGAACTATTACCATTTGGCAGACGGTACAGGGTAATAAAAACAAGGACAAGTGGGCTGAAAAACAGCTTCTATCCCAGGGCAGTAACTATATTGATTTCTACTTTATAGTGCAATATTAATGCAATATCGGGTTTTCAATTCAGTTGTATAGAATGTGAAGGATGTGTGCTTGTGTTTTATTTTTATAGTTATAATGTACACTGAAGATGGCATTTAATTTTGTTGTACGAGGTGCAGTGGCAAAAAACTAAACTAAATTTTTGTTTCTTGCTCCTGGTCAGAGCAGGAGTTTGAGCTTCTGTGGTAACTGGAGAATATTTGGAGATAGGTCTATCTTAGCTGATCCTTTTTCTTCTTTTCCTTCCCACCCCATCTCCCTTGAAGCTCCCATATTATTATTCTACTTGCTAATGTGTTTGAGATCTAAATCTTGAGCAAAGACTAGAGGGTGTGGCTCTGGCAGTGAAAGGGTAGGGAGTGGTGGTCTATGTGGGTTTTACATTTGGGAGGAGTACCAAGATACTTTGAGGAAGAAAGACAGCAGCTACAAGCCCTTCTGGTCTTGTGCCAGGCTATGTAGCCCAATTAGGGCTGTACAGCTCTTTCAACTATTCCTTTTAAATGCCAGGTAGATTCAAAAATAAAACAAATTATTCCTGGTTTGAACTTTCTAGAAAAGTGATAGATGAAGTGAAAACATGTTTGATATGTTCGGAATATACACAGCCATTTGTGAGCTGTTTCACATCACTACAGTTATATCATAGATGACAGTGGTACTTGGCCAGTCCCCCCAAAAAAACATAAGCAGAATCAAACATTGGTATTTGATTGTGAGGTTCACCAAGAAAACTGGAGGTTGTAGAGTGGGAAATTCTTAAAAAAAAAAAAAACTCCCAAGATGACAGTGAAAAACAGCCTTCTTATTAAATCACGAAGCATCCATGCAGACCCTAGCTTGATTTGAAGATGGCTTTACTTGCAGGAATAAATAACAATATAAGCTTAATTGTTGACTTGTGTAGCAATACACTTGCCTTTATCTTTTTCCAAGAAATAGTTTTCCTTAAGTACTATATTTATATTTTAAATTGAAATTATTCCCAGTGCTAATAGTCTCCCTAGGTAGTGTTGGAAATAGTTTTGATCGTGATATTTCTGGAAAATTTCAGTTTCTATGTCAAAGCTGCTCAAAGACATGGCAATTAACTCTTGCAATGTATAGCAAGAGTCTATACTCCCAGCATGGTCTCCAAAGCATTAAAGTCATGCTAAAGCAAGCAGGCTTTTATATCAGATAGCAGTAATACAGACAGAGGATCACTTTAATGACAGTGGCAAAGGCATTGTTTTGTACTGCATGGGAAGGAGTAATGGTAAATGGCTCCTCCATTTTACCAAGAAAACAGAATATTTTGAATTGATTTAGCTGTAAATATTATTTTCATAGTTTTGGACACAAAAATATTGCAGTGCATCAGCTGCAGCCCCAGCTGATGCACTGCAATCTTTGTGTGTCCAGAACTATTAAAATATTAAAACTATTGTCCAAAACTATTAAAATAAATATATTTATTGCAAATATATTTAATACGTTTGAGTTTGAAGAGTGTCTGATAAGATTTGTTTGACAGATTTGGAACTCGCTGTGCAGCGAGAAAAATGACTACATATGGGAGGCATATTTTTTATAAGGAAACAAAGAGGACAATCACTTGTTCAATGACTGTTACGATAGTGTTGACCTGAACAAAATGATACTTATGACGGGTTCCTGGCCATCAGTGCATCTCCATGGTCATGTGATCACAAGCAGGCATTCAGTGACTGGCTCATAATCATGACGTTGGAATGCCCTGCGATCCCATGATCACAATTTGCAGCTGTCACTTGCAGCTTCCATAATCAAAGTCAATAGGGACACCAGCGGGAGATCACAGAGATCATATATTGCAATGTTCACTTAATGACAGCAACTGGAAGTGCTGTCACTAAGCAATCTATTCACATGATGTCATGTTTTATGACCAGGTCACTTAGTGATGGACATTCCAGTCCTAATTGTCATCATTGACTAAGGACTTACGTGTATTCCAATACATATTTAACAAAATTTGTTCCAGGAATGGCAACTCTATTGTGATAACTGTTACAGGATATGGATGCCAGTATGTTAAGATACATATTAAAAATTGAAAGAGTTACTGATAAGTTTACCTGTATGAGAATATGATTTGACTGAACCTGTAACACTGTGAACAGATACTAGTGCATCTGGTTTAGGTGTGGCATTACTACAAGAAAGATTTTGTGTGACACGTGCATTTAAAACCAGGACTAAAACTTGGCAAAATTAGCAATTGCTGGTTACTAACTTTCCAAAAATACCAATTAGGTTTTGAACCTTTCAAAAGTTTTGAACCTTTCCAGCTTTGCGGATTGGCATGGTGGGGGGGAGAGTGCCTGCAGCTCCATTTGCACAAGGGGTGGGTACATGTGCTCGCAGCTTGCACAAATGGAACTGTGCCCACCTGCTGCTGCACATGTTCGCTTGCCCAACGAGACTGTAGTCTGGTTCTGAATGGGCTGCAGCTCGGGGGTTGGAGCCCCCTGGTTTAAAGAACTGGGAAGGAACTGGTGATTGTGAATGCCTTTCTAAGAGCTTTTTAAGATAGTAATGAATATGTGGATTACTACATTCTAATGTTGCAACAGGTGTGTAGATACAGGTGCCTAAATTTGGGAATAAAATTGAAAGAATTTTAAAATGCTACACTAACTAGTCAGTTATTAAAATTATTTGGGGGGGGGTGGCCTTAGCAAGGAAAGTTTAAAATGTATTGGAATTATAAGGAGGAGTTGACTATTACTTTTCAAGAATGAGAATAATTGTACATGAAAGACTAAGAGGTGGGATCTTGGGGAAAAAAGAGATATTGAATTGTGTAAGATGGATGTGTAAGAAGCTGAATTAATAGTGTTTGAATTGCCTATGAGATTGTGGCAGGAATTGTGTTTGATATGTTTTAATATGAGCCTTGGTGGTGCAGCGGACTAAAGTGCTGTTAAGTAGCACTTAGCTGCCAGCTGCCTGCAATTACTGAGAATTCAAATCTCACCAGGCTCAAGGTTGACTTAGCCTTCCATCCTTCTGAGGTAGGTAAAATGAGGACCCGGATTGTGGGGGCAATAAGCTGACTTTGTATTAAAAAAAAAAAAAAAGAATACCGCTTAGGGGGGACCGAAAGCCCTACTAAGCAGGTATCTACAAAAAGTATGAAGGCTATTGCTTAACGCATTGTAAGCCGCCCTGAGTCTCCAGAGAGGGGCGGCATATAAATCGAACCAATAAATAAATAAATAAATTTCAGAGAAAAAATAAAAATTAGTTTGGGAATTTTATTTGATATTTTTGTAGTGGGTCTCCTTTCTTTGGGGCAGGTTCTAGTCAACATTGTGTGGGGCAGAGGTTGAACCCCAGACTCCTATAGTATAGGGGGCCTCATGGCTCAGATCTCCCATCCCTTCTTTCAATATGTACATGAAACATTAGGTGATATAACTACATGACACTGGATAGTATCATCAGTATATTAATACCCAGTTATACATAACTACTCCAGGTGAGACAAGTAATGCTGTTGAGATATTGATCCAATGCCCTAAATTTCCTGAAAGCTGTAAAGAGCTTGCTCTTCCCTCAACCTCTGGTAGAGGGTGAAGTTGTAGTTGAAAGACAGTGCTGTTGGCTGCATCAAAGCAGTTTGGTTGTGGTGCCTGGTTTCTTTGCTTTTATTTTGTTTTATTTTGGCTTTATATAATTGTTGTGAACTGCTCAGAGTTTGGTTCTAAGATGTACAAATGTTTTAAATAAATAAATTTTGCATTGTGAGTCTCTTCAACACATGGAATTCTTGAAGAGGTCATAACAGACACTAGATCACAATTTAATTTAATGGAATTCAGAGTGTTTGCCAAAGATTGCGATTTTGCACATTCTATTTTCAGTCTCTATTATGCCCAGTCAAATAGGATAGTAGAAAGGACTATAGAGATTGTGAAGAGAATGTTACAAAATCAAAGCTGGAAGGTTTTGAGTTTTATTCAGATGTGTTGGCTTAAAAAGAAAACCATCAAACTCTTAGATCTGTGCAGAGATTGAAGGTACAGTTTATTAAAGAAGGTGAAGGGACTTGAGGAAACATTGAAGACCTTATGCTATCTCAGCTCAAATGCAGAAGGAAAAAGAAAGAACTGAAGATACCATTTCAGAAAAGGACAACAGTAGAGTTTCGTGTTTATATGTATGTATGTGTATAACCAACCTGGTATGGGAATTTTTTTATCTTAGGCGAAAAAAAGATGGGAGATGCTAGGAATAAGTTATCTCTATTATTTGTGAGTAGAATATAATGAGTGAACAAAAGGAGCTAGCTGTGGGTATATCAATGGCTCTCTTTTCTTGTAACTTGTAAACTGTCAGTCAACTTTATCCATGTATTAGATCTGTCTGTCTTAATAGTTTGTATGCAATCTACTTCAAAATGGGATGTGAGCATGTAAATGCAAGCTACTTCGAAATGGGATATGACCTAAAACTGATTTAAAATTGTTCAAATGTTTGGAACCCTACAATTTTAGAATAGGCTTACCTATCAAACATACTTCCATTTTTCCAGGGCCACCAGCCACTCTTTTCCAGCCACCGCGTCGGCCTGGCTTGGGAACAGTTGGAAAACCAATTCGTCTGTTAGCCAATCATTTCCAAGTACAGATTCCTAAAATTGATGTTTATCATTATGATGTGGATATCAAACCAGAAAAACGTCCCCGAAGAGTGAACAGGTAATAGTTTTCAAGCCTAATTTTAATGGTTCTCTGACTGCTGACAATTGGCAGTTTTAAATAAAATAATACAGTGGGCATACATGGAACATTCCTCAGCAATGACAATCTCATAAGGCAGAGACCATTTGTATTTGAACTAATTCATATTTTGAAAACCAAATCAAGAACATTATGCTCTTGTACCATTAAGGTGTTCTCATTTCAATTTATACCACTTTCCAGGGAGGTGGTAGATACTATGGTGAGACACTTCAAGATGCAAATATTTGGGGATCGACAGCCTGGCTATGACGGCAAAAGAAATATGTATACTGCACATCCTCTGCCTATTGGAAGGGACAGGGTAAGTTTAACTTAGTGATTCAATGCCATCTTTCATAAGAATGTCCTACTGAGCCTCCTTGTTTGCCCTATTCAAATAATGAAGTTATCAAAATAGAAGTTTTAGATTTGAAAGTTGCATTGCTAAGGTGCAACTCGCAGCTTTTTCAGAAAGCATGTCCAATGCTAAGAGAAACTGAGAATTGAATATTTGTGACACTTGGAGGGTCAGTGATACCCTGACTTTGTTTTAAAGCAATGCCATATAAAGAATAGCAATGTTGGGAAATGCTCAGTTAGGCAGGGAGGAGGGCTTAAGCAAGGAATTAGTCTTGAATCATTGGGCAGCTGCAAGAGATCCAGGACTGATACCCTCCCTCCCCCAAGCTCTATAGAACCTTATCTATTTGTTCCCAAGGGGAGAGCAAGCAATCTAGGGAGATGCCTGTGTTATATAGGCAGAATATAATAAAACAGCTAGCTTGAAATATGCACGTGGGATTGCTTGCACTTGACAAGCAATGATAAAACTGCATCCTTGGCGTTGCTTTGAACCTATTAAATAGCATTCAATATTTTGTTGTTTTTTCATGCCCAAATTGCAGTGTCCTGCATTAGATGACGCATATGGACATGTTTTAAAGTGCATGAGAACTATCCTTGAACTATAGCTTATTTTTATTCTAGGGAAGAATGATCTGGGACTTCGATGGGTATTTGCTGTACCTAAATAATAATGAGATTAAACTGAATTCAGTCAAGGATCAGTGGAAAACCAGTTGAGCTCATGAAGAGTTTCAATTTCAACAGATGTTCTGTACAGTTAAGAAAGATCTGCACAGTTAATCCCCACTGTTGTGTCTTCAGGTGGATATGGAGGTCACACTCCCTGGTGAAGGGAAGGACCAGACCTTTAAAGTGTCAGTTCAGTGGGTGTCTGTAGTCAGCCTTCAGCTGCTCCTGGAAGCTTTGGCAGGCCATCTGAACGAAGTCCCAGAAGACTCTGTGCAGGCACTAGATGTCATCACACGCCATCTTCCCTCTATGAGGTGAGTATTTTTTTAATCATTCTCTCTTGGACTGTAGTTTTCTCAGCAGACGCTGGTGAAATCTTTTATGCATGTTGAGGCCCATTGTAATGCTTGTGGATATTCCTCCTTTCAGAACTGAAATGTAATTGCAAGGAATATGTAATATTTCTAAGGGATCTATTCATTTTCTGCTCTCACTAAATGTTTTTGGTTTTTTCACCTATCTCTGACTTGGTGGAATAGGAAAGGAATAGGAAAGGTATGGAACAGCAGTCACTTTTTAAAATAACATTTGAATAAAGAGTCAAATTAACTTTCTAAATACAGTTTTAAAAAATGTAACTGTCTCTTTTCAATTACAGTTTAGAATATTCTAACTCTTGCAGCAAAACAGTTTCTATTTTACAAACTACCTTTTTTGTTTTGTGCCTTCAAATCAGTGTTGACTCCTGGTGACCGTGTGGACTAGTCCCTTCAGTTTTCTTGGCAAGATTTCGGAAATGATTTGCCACTGCTTTCTTCCTAGCATTGAGAACGATTGGCTACTGATACTTGCCTTCCATGGCAATTAATACATGTTCCAAAATTTGTTGAAGGATTTCCTTAGTCTCCTTGGTCTTCCTTAGTGACTTTTGTTTAGATCCATTATTTTACTCACACCAGAAATCCTCTGTTTCTGAAGTTTTAAACTGAAAGGTGGTATGCTATGTTAAAATTTTCTGAGTGACAGTTCTAATATTCACTCAATACACATATGCTTTAACTTAAACTGATGATGATGATGATCTTGCCAAAAGTGCTGTGACGGAATATCCTGATCCAGAACAAATTATCCTAACAATGATCCACTTGTCTGATCTTTAATACTTGTAATACTTTGTACACAATACCTCAAATATTCCTTATTTGTAACTTCTTGATAAATCTGAATAGATTCTCCCATTCCACCAGGTACACTCCAGTGGGGCGATCCTTCTTCTCTCCTCCTGAAGGATACTATCACCCGCTGGGAGGAGGTCGGGAGGTCTGGTTTGGCTTCCATCAGTCTGTCAGGCCTGCCATGTGGAACATGATGCTCAATATAGATGGTATGGAAGAAACCTGTTCGCTTAAATTATCCTAAATCACTCCTGACACTCTTTTCTCAGTATCCCGCCTCCTCTGTTTGTTTTTTTTAGTATCTGCAACTGCTTTCTATCGGGCTCAACCTATTATTGAATTCATGTGCGAAGTCCTGGATATTCAGAACATCAATGAACAAACAAAACCCCTTACGGATTCCCAGCGTGTTAAATTTACCAAAGAAATCAGAGGTACTACTTTAAAATAATAAGTATAAGTATAATAATAATAATAAGTATGTCGAATTGTGGTAAACAAAAAATTTGATTTCTGAAAATTTATGCAGTATATTTCCACCCTTAGAAAATTATAAGTTGGGCTGGTTTTGATGGTGTGTAGAGAGAACATTTTTAGCAACTGCTAGAGTTTCTTCATCTCACGATATCACACATTTAAAAATAAAAAAGACAAGCGTGTGGTTATACAGATGGATGTTTTGTCATTGTGTGGATCTCTCTCTGATATCCCCGTTTGTCTTTTAGAAAAGCAATACTTTGGGGGGTTTTGCTGCGGAAAATATGAGGGATGGCAATTATGGCTCAAAGCCAGCTCTGTACCTTTTAATTTGTTGGTCTCTAATTTGTTTTTATCAGAAATATTCAACAAAAAAGTAAACATTCAGAATATTTTTTCTCCTTTATTAATGATTACAACCCACCTCTGCTCTGTATTTAATGGGCAAGTTGTTCTAACCTTACTATATTGTCAAAATCCGAATTAACTACTTCCCCCCCAAACTAGGATTTCTGACTACAGTATTATGACACATTTCTGTGAGCTTTAGGATGAATAGATTTTGGAAGAAACTATTTAACTTGGGTTGATTTTTATTGTATCCACTCTGAGAATTTTAATTGAACAATCCAGATACAGTGGATTTGCATCTATATAGAAAATAAATGTAATCATGGAGAGCCCAGTAGTTTGTTTTGGTCTTTGATCCTTCTCAATATATCATATTGGCTTTTGGTATGTGTGTCTTTATGTTTCACTGGATTTGTAGGTTTAAAAGTGGAGGTTACTCACTGTGGTCAAATGAAAAGAAAATACAGAGTTTGCAATGTTACTAGACGACCTGCTAGCCATCAAACGTACGTATGCTTTTTTTTTTTTTTTTGAAAAAAAGAACAATCTTGAAAAACCTTTGTCCTGTTTCTGCTATGGAAAAGCATTTTATAAACTGAAGGCCACACATAACTAAGTATTTCATAAACTACGTATTTCAGAATTCTATCAAAATAACAAACTCTCATGCCAGTCGGAAGAGGACCCAAAAAATGTGACTTGTGCTTTGGCAATATGTCAGTGAAGATTCTCAGTCATCCAGATAAGAGTCCTGGCAACTGGACTTCTTTTTTGGCTTGAAACATTTCACTGCTTATCCAAGTAGACAGACTTGAAAAAAGGTACTTGGATAAGCATTTCAGGTCAAAGAGAAAAGAAGCCCAGTTGCCAGGACTCAATTTCCAGATGACTTGTGCTTTTTGGTTGTATCACTTTGTGATGGAAATTCAGTCCCAATTACCATAGTTAAGTGAGGACTTCCTGTATTTACATAATTAATGTACAACTCGATATCTGGCAGCCATGCATGATTCGTCAAATGAGAGAAGCTATAGATAAGTCTCTTTTTTTTAATGTTTATTTTATTTTATTGAAAAGACAGTGCCATGTCAGGATAACAATGCAAATAAAGCAGAGCCAGAGAGAGATTAATGGTAAATCTTAACATACATGCTAATAACTATAACTATACTATGTTAACAGTAATTATGGCAATGCAACAACAACAAAAAAAAAAGTTCAACAATTTCTACTTAAATTAGCTTATTAACAAATTTTTCCACATTATATCCATAGTTTTATACATCTTTGTTGTACTGACATTCATAAACTTCCCTCTCACTTCTACCTCTTGTCTCTTATCCATTCATAAAATTTATTCCATGTCCTGTAATATTTCGAGTCTTCTTTATCTTTAGTCTTTAAAGTTAATCTGTCCATTTTAGCACAATCCCAAATTTTCCTAATTATGTCATCATCTGATGGGGTGACATTCAGTCCCAATTACCATAGTTAAGTGAGGACTTCCTGTATTTACATAATTAATGTACAACGATGGAGAAAACTTGATATCTGGCAGCCATGCATGCTGTTTCAAATGAGAGAAGCTACAGATAAACTCCTTGATATAATCTGGCAGGCATGTAGCAGTGATATGGGATTAAATAGTCCTTCATCTTACATGCATATCTATATTATAACCTCTTTTAATTTTAACTTTTAGTTAGTTTGACCAACATTATGCTTTTTTTTTATCATGCTGTCCCTATTTATTGAAATTTTAAACCTGATTTTTAAAGTTAGGATGCTAAGATCCCTTCACTGGAGTTTGATATCATATATTTGGAGTACTACACTCCCAGTCATACCACAATCCATCTTTCAGTTTTTATTAATTTCAGCAATATGACTGTTGGGAGAATAATTTTGTTGCTGCTTTTGTTAAATAGTTGAGAATCCAAAATAGTTGTTTATGTTCTGATACCATAGGCAAACCTCTTTCTTGTGAAATGAATATATATTTAATATATATTTCTGCTTACAGGTTCCCTCTGCAGTTGGAAAATGGGCAAGCTATGGAGTGTACAGTAGCTCAGTATTTTAAGCAGAAATACAGTCTGCAACTGAAATACCCACATCTTCCATGCCTCCAAGTAGGGCAAGAGCAGAAACATACATATTTACCCCTTGAGGTAAACACCTAGGCAGTTCTGTTCCTCAGTTCTGTTCCACTGCATCAGGCTTGTTCACCCTGTATCATTTTTCATTCCAGGTGTGTAATATAGTTGCAGGACAGCGTTGTATTAAGAAGCTAACAGACAATCAGACATCAACTATGATCAAAGCAACAGCACGATCTGCACCTGACAGGCAGGAGGAAATTAGCAGACTAGTGAGTAACTGCTTGAATATATTAAATCCCCATTAAGATGAAGTAAAATGGTGGTTGGAAGACGCTTATCACTGTAGGATCTTTTCCCACATGAACTTTGCAAATCTTTTTCCTGGGACCCAACGCCATTTCTCGCCACTGGGTTGATGAGGTTATGGTACATCCAGAATGTGGTGTATCCAAGACATAGAAGATAGGATAATAAAGTCCTTCCCCCTCCACCTTTACAACAGTCCACATAATTCACAGATAACTATAACGAAAGATAGCAGTGACTGAGGAACAAAGGCACACAGTAGACTGCCGGTTGAGCTACGTTTACTCAAATGAAATGTTCATAAGAGCTGTTGTGTCTATATTTAAGAAATGTTCTCTGAATCTCCAGGTCAAGAGTAACAGTATGGTTGGTGGACCTGATCCATATCTGAAGGAGTTTGGTATTGTTGTCCATAATGAAATGACAGAACTGACAGGCAGAGTATTACCTGCACCAATGCTGCAGTATGGAGGTAGGGTAAGTACTTCATAATTTTCACCCAATCTAGATTACACAACAGACCTCATATAGGGGGCTAATAGCATACTTTTAATCCGGTAGACTCTTTACTGGCAACTAATTAAAATTTGAGGCTGAAAATGTAGTTGGTCATGGAAATGCAATGGAAAGGAGTTTGGCCGTGTATTACTTTATACTCTTGTCAAAGAACAGCGGTTTGTGTTTGATTTTCTTTAGAACAAGACTGTTGCTACACCAAATCAGGGTGTCTGGGATATGAGGGGAAAACAGTTCTATGCTGGGATTGAAATTAAAGTGTGGGCTGTTGCCTGCTTTGCACCTCAGAAACAATGTCGGGAAGATTTGTTGAAGTAAGTAGTTTTCTTTTTTAGAAGAAGATTACGTTTACTTTTATAAACTGATGTTTGGAAAGTTCTGAATGGTGTATCTTCAATAGAGGTTAAATGTTGTTATCAACTAGATGATGGTACACAAAGCAATTACTTTTCTTCACCTTCTTCTTTCCCCACTCTGATACCTTCAAGATCTGGTATCTTTTAAATTTATTTTTTATTATGTATATCCTGCCTTTATTATTTTTACAAATGGCTCAAGGTGATGAATATATCCAACACACCTTCCTTGTATTTTCCCCACAACAACAACAACCTTTTGAGATGAGTTGGACTTTAAGAAGATCCGATATCTTTTTTATTATAAGCATAATTCTCAGACAATATAATTGAAGCCTAATGCAATGGAAAGTAATTATGACATTTTAATTTGGGATTATCAATAGAATTTGCTTACCATAATTAGAAATTTCAGAATGACAACCTAAAAAGTACACAAATACCTGTGATTGCTTTACCCGGTATTAACATTTGCAGCTCAGAGTAATTGGTTGCGCTCATTTTCTGATGTCCAGAGTTACACTGACAGTATTCAAGGAAGTTTAGTTTAACTCTGCAACTTTAAAATATGTGGTCTTTAGTTCCCAGAATTCCACAGTTGTTCTGGCTGAGAAATCTGGGAGTTGAAGTCCACTAATCTTAAATTTGCCAAGATTAAAAAAATACTGATCTAATTTAATCATTGAGAGATCTGTTTTCTAAGAATCAATCCAATTCTTTTATCAAAACCATTTCAGGTAGAATAAATGGGATAACCTGCACAAAGTTAGGCTAGTGCTAATGGTATCTATGACTTATTCTGTGTTTCTAGGAGTTTTACTGATCAGCTGCGCAAGATCTCTAAGGATGCAGGGATGCCAATCCAGGGCCAGCCATGCTTCTGTAAATACGCACAAGGGGCAGACAGTGTGGAGCCCATGTTCAAACATTTGAAATTGACTTATGTGGGGCTGCAGCTAATTGTAGTGATTCTTCCAGGAAAGACACCCGTCTACGGTAAGGAAGAGACCAGTTGACCAAATGCATAATATAATTATCATATTGAAAGAATGTGCAATTACAATTTGGTGCTTTTCTTTTGTAATAATCCTGTGCAAACTCTTTAAAATAAAAAAACAAATCTTAGATTATCTAAGTCATCATTTTGAGTTACTGGGATGGGATGGGAGTAGGGGCTGGATAGAGCATTTTTAAAAACTTCCGGGTTCTAAAAAACAATTTTTTCTTTGCAGCTGAAGTTAAACGAGTCGGGGATACTCTCCTGGGCATGGCGACTCAGTGTGTTCAGGTGAAAAATGTGGTGAAAACATCTCCTCAAACTCTGTCCAATCTTTGTCTAAAGATCAATGCAAAACTTGGTGGAATAAACAATGTCCTTGTACCACATCAAAGGTCAGCTTAACCCTTGGTTATTCTTCATAGAGAGCATATGGCTGAGTTTTATTGAGAAGCAGAATGATGAAAACACTCAAAATGAAAATCCTTGCATTGAGAATTTTGTCATTTACCTAATTTAAATTATTCCAAAGTTTTCCTTAGTTATAGAAATGAGAACTTATGATGCATTTAGACACTGTCTCTAAATAGTCTTTTATTTTTTCGTTCACATGTTCACTTCTACTGTGATATCTTATACTAGATAATTGTCCCCATAAAAGCCTTTATAATAATCTCCACATTAGAAAGTGAGGCTATCTGGGAGTCCGGTGTAGGATTTCCATTTGTCCCTAGAGCCCTTGAGATTTTATCTTTCTTTTTTTAATTGCTGTTTTATACTAATAAATTCTTTAGATTTCTTGTTGACTGGGCTGACCTGAATTTTTTTATTCAAGAAAGGGACAAAAGTTCATTGAATTCTCCTTTTTACCCCAAAGCAAAGCAGGAATTAATTGAGGATTAAGGTTAATTGTTTGATGCAACAGGGAGCCACATAATAACATCAAGATATATTTATTGTTTGTCCTCTAGCTGAGGTGGGATATGTTAGCCATAAGAGGTAGAATATTGAGTTGTGTAATGCAGAAATAAGCACTAAACTTCTCAGCAACTGAAGAATAGCTTGGAACAAATAAAATTGATAATTAGAACTGTATAGAACATTTTTAAAAAGGGTTTTTTTTTTTTTGTTTTTTTTTGCTGGTTCCTAGTTAAAGTGCCTTTTCCCTCCCCCAATTCCCCAGGCCCTCAGTATTCCAGCAACCTGTTATTTTTCTGGGAGCAGATGTCACTCACCCACCTGCTGGAGATGGGAAGAAACCTTCCATTGCTGCTGTAGTAGGAAGCATGGATGGCCACCCCAGCCGCTACTGCGCTACTGTGCGAGTGCAAACATCCCGTCAAGAGACATCACAAGAACTGCTGTACAGTCAGGAAGTGATTCAGGACCTGACCAATATGGTGCGAGAACTGTTGATCCAGTTTTACAAATCCACTCGCTTCAAGCCCACACGGATCATTTACTACAGGGGAGGAGTATCCGAAGGGCAAATGAAACAGGTATTGGTCTAGTAATTCATCCTCTGAATGAGGCCCCCTCAGAAAGGAGCCCTGGTGGCGCGGCAGACTAAAGCACTGTTATTAACACCAGCTGTCTGCAATTAAAGTAAGATCGAATCTCGCCAGGCTCAAGGTTGACTCAGCCTTCCATCCTTTCTAAGGTAGGTAAAATGAGGACCCAGATTGTGGGGGCAATAAGCTGACTTTGTATAAAATATACAAAAGTATGAAGGCTATTGCTTAACGCATTGTAAGCTGCCCTGAGTCTCCGGAGAAGGGCGGCATATAAATCAAATAAAAAAAAAAAGTCCATTCCTTTGCCAGATAGCCTGAAAAGAGGTGTATGCCAAGAATGCACACAACACAAACATTTAATCATCCAGTTTGAAGTTATTCTTGAGATTCTGAGATATCTGCATGCATTGCTTATTAGCTCCATTGCTGCACAGAAATCTGGCAATGGTTGCAAACACTGTAATTATCCTAATAATAAACAGTAAAATACAATGGTTGTCTTAGTGTTAACGATATCTAAAACCATTTAATTTTAGATGATCTGATAAACTGTGCTAATGAATGACTGCATTTTGGGTGCTCATTAATGGCCTTTTGCAGAACTCCGTGATATATAATGTTTTTGCTGAAAGACAGCATTTGCTTCCAGTTTCTGGCAAAAAAAGTGAACAGTGGGTTTGCTTAGTGACTGTGGTGTTTTCTTAATAATCATGGTGTTCACTTAACAGCTGCCACAAAAAAGGTAAAATTAGGCACAGTCACCCAATAACTCGTAACGACCATCACAATTTATTGCCATAATTGTGGGCTCAGTTATGATAAGTCAAGGACTAACCTGTATGCTGGAAAAGTAGATAGTTTGTCTCTTCATCCAAACCAGATGTATGTTATATGTCAGTGATGCATCCTGATGCTAAATTAAATTAGTATCTAATCCCAAAGCTCTATGCATACAAGCCATTTTCTAAATGTACTCATCTATTTCCTTCCTGGCACATTTGCAAAATCATATTTTACTTTGAAAGTTTTCATGAACTTACTTGATGTATTCAGCAAGCAGAAATTGGCTTGGATCCATATCTGTTCTTACTTAATAGTACAACAGCTTCAGTGGGACTTCATGAATTGCCTTGCGCAGCCCAGATCAGCAGTTGACTTCAACTTTTAACCCTTCTAGGTAGCTTGGCCTGAGCTTATTGCAATCCGGAAGGCCTGTATCAGTTTAGAAGAAGACTACAGGCCAGGGATCACTTACATTGTCGTGCAGAAAAGGCATCACACAAGACTCTTTTGTGCGGACAAAACTGAACGGGTAGGTAATTGCTAGAGGTAAAGCCATCCTATTAAATTCTGCAGCTTCCAGGAGGCGCCAGGTGGCTTTTCTTGGAAAATTGCCTGGGTGGGGTAAGGATGGTGCAAATGAATTTTTATGAGGCTAGATACTGATGGGGTTTTTTTTGGTGGTGGTGGAATAAGTTTACACCTTTTGAATCAATAAAAAGTGTAATAATTCAAAGTTGATTCTAAATGGTCAGATGTAAAACCTCTGCAAGAAGCTAAAGCCTAGCTGAAAATTTTGAGGCATATTTGTAGGCATCCCTCAGCACTCTAATGATTCCTAAGAGAATGAAATGCGCGAGATCCAGGTAAGTCAGATCCATTTCATTTCCTCCTGCTTATTATTGGAGAACTTTCAGCTCAATGTATTTCAACTCTGGCATTCCATTTCAAGTTGCAACACTTGTTCCAACCTTAATGAACCTCAGCTAATATTTCCAATTTAAATTCAGAAATGTTTTGTGCATTTCTGTTAAGTCATACGGGCTTCTCCTTGATGCCCATTTCTTTCACTACATTAAAATGGCTACCAGAAGGGCGATTGCCTTTGGATAATGTGAAAATATCCCCTGTTGGACGTTGCTTTATGTATATCTGAATCTGGCTGACTTCAGGCAAAGCTGAAGAGTTTTCATTGTTAGAGGAAACTGTCCAGTTGCTCATTGAATTATGATCCTTAATCTTTAGTAGGAGGGTAGGGGTAAGGTTCAAGTGCGCTGCACAGATTGATTGATTTACTGTCAGATAAAATATAATGATGAATTCTGCTTGTTTTGTTGACATGGGTGCCGCACACTAAGCGTTAATGGCTGTGTTGTCTCCCAATAGGTGGGAAAAAGTGGAAATGTTCCGGCAGGCACTACTGTGGATAGCACTATCACCCACCCGTCTGAATTCGACTTTTACCTCTGTAGCCATGCAGGAATCCAGGTAATCCTAATATAGCCAGCCATTAACTCTGTAGCATTTTGTGGTTCGCACCTGGATGAAACTGGCCTCGCATAAATGAAAGGTTAACCTTGATATTGAAATGTGGCATAAGCAGCTGCAGTTTGGCCCTGAAAAGTCAGTGAAGCATTTTCTTCTGCATTAATGAACAGCCTTCACCCCTAGGTTGAAGAAGCTACTTCTTTCTTCTTCTTCTTCTTCTTTTTCTTCTTCTTCTCGCAAAGAAACTCTGTAAGAAAAAAGAGAGGGCTTTCCTGGAAAAGAAAAGAAGAAGAGTCAGCTTCTATGTTCTGAGGTTACTTCCTGCCTCTTGCATGGTATGTCTGTCATTAGGGAATTTCGATGGTGGATTGACTAGATTTATCCTATTTCAGGGAACCAGCCGTCCTTCTCACTATCAAGTCTTGTGGGATGACAACTGTTTCACCGCAGATGAATTGCAGCTACTGACATACCAGCTGTGTCACACTTACGTTCGATGCACCCGGTCTGTCTCAATCCCTGCGCCTGCGTATTATGCCAGGCTAGTGGCATTTAGAGCAAGATACCACCTTGTAGACAAAGACCATGACAGGTGAGCAAACTTGGGAGAAGAACCTTCAAGGGTTTAGTGTAGTCAGAGTCTAGGGTTTCATTCTGCGTAAGTGTTTTGTTATATACCAGTGATGACTAACCTTTTTGCCATCGCGTGCCAAAAATGGGGGGAGTGCGGGGGGTTGCATGTGCACGTGCCCACATCCATAATTCTATGCACCCTGCCCCACTGTGCATGCATGCACAACCCCTACACGCGACCCCTGCTTTTGGCACGTGATGGCACGGTGGGCCTGTTTTTCTCCCTCCCCAGGTTCCAGAGGCTTTCTAGGAGCCTTGGGAAGGCAAAAATGGCCTTCCCCATCCCTCTGGAGGCCCTCCAGAGGCCAGAAAGCAACCCTATTTGCCAACTTCTGGTGGGCCCAGAAGGCCCGAAAAATCAGCTGACCGGCATGTGCATGTGCGCCTGAGCTGACCTCACGTGCCCACCAATATGGCTCCGCGTGTCACATGTGCCATAGGTTCGCCATCATGGTTATTTACAGATCTGCCCTTCCATTCTGGATTTGATCTGAATGCAAAGCTCCTTCCCTTTTAACAATTTAAATTTCACAGGGAAATTAAACATTTTTGGTGGCATTAGTTGCTGGTTGCTGCACAGGCAATATTTTATTGAACAAGTTGCAACATCCTGCCTTCTAATTATAGATTCCATTTAATTGGCTAGAAAAATTAGATAATGTATTTATCAATATAATCTACTCCAAAAAACAATCTGCAGAGACTCTGAAATTGTATTAGCGGAGCCTGTTAGTTTTGCTAATCCATTATGCTAAGCTAATTCAAACTACTACTCTTCCCAATGTTTTGGATATTTCAGAAGAAACTACAGTTTAGAGATTAGATACCTGAATCACATGTAAGAGAGGCTCAGGGTTCATTTTTAACCTTTTTTGTACAAGTAGTCCTTGACTTAGAACCATAATGGACCCTGCCTATTACGATTGTAAGTCATGACAATTGTAAAATGGGTCAGTCATGACCTATTTACAACCGTTTTTGCGGCAGTCACTAAAGGCTTTTTTTTTTTTTTTTGCTGAAAACTGGAGGTAAATACTTCTTTTTAGCAAAGAAAAGCTAGTAAAATATGACCGTGGGATGCTACAGCCAGGGTGTGTGTGACCCTCAGAACTTTGAATCAGGATAATAAGTAGCCCCAAGATAGTTCTGTTTTAACTTCAAACAGTCATAAGTCAGGGACTACCAGTCTATTATTATAACGTGAATAGAAATCACCTCTGCCCAATACTTAGAAGTGGCTTTTCACGTTGAAACAGTGGCAGCCTGCAAAGGGTGGGGATGTAGTTGAGCGTAGCCTCAGTGGGATTATGTGTTAAATCCTTCTAACTTCTTTTTCAGTGCTGAAGGCAGCCACGTGTCAGGACAGAGCAATGGCCGTGACCCTCAAGCACTAGCCAAGGCAGTACAGATCCATCACGACACCCAGCACACAATGTATTTTGCCTGATAGAGACTCTGCAGCCACATGGCAGGAGCGGCCTAGTTGGTCAGGCCACCAACCATTAATTGTCAGGGCTCGTTTTTTTTTTAATTCAGGCTGCCCTCCACCAGCAGCTTGGGACAGTTGCACTGAATTGATACCTGCCACCAACATCTTGTGCAGGCACAATTGAGCCATTTTTATTTTTTTTTCTTTCCGTAAACAGAAATTTCATAAAACGGTCTTTGCATTGGACTGAATTTTTACCTCAAAACGCAAAAGGCTGATCCTCTTAAAAAAAATTTTTTTTAAAGGACTTGGCACGAAAGGTTTTTATTGAAATATTTTGCTAACCAATTAATCAATTTACGTTACCTCTTCATCCCATGTCAAGAAGATGAATTCCTGCTGGGCTTTTGACACACTGCTTAGTGATTCTCCAGATATGGCAAAACAGGATTCTGCTGTTTTTTTTCCTGTCTGGAGCCATATAGACTTGATCAATGAATTTTTGGTGTAAAAAACACCTTTCAACAAACATGGATTTTCAGAGGTATGGCTGTTCCTTTGGTTTTGTTTTTTAATTTTTTCGCTTTGTCAAATTTTGCTAGTTCCCTTTTTGTAAATCTCTCTGCAGTCCTGGGCTGCAAAGCCATTGCACTATAACTGCGAATTCAGCTTGGTGGTACTTCTGTGAATGCGTAATGTTAGCAGAGAAAAATCCCCTTTGGCAGTTCTAATACAATTATTATTATTATTATTATTACGGTTACAACTGCCACCTTTTGATTCAAAGTGCTGAACTGCTTCCCCTTCTAAAAATAGGTAACCAGGTTCTGAACAATTAGTTTTAGTATTTTTCAAACATCACAAAAAGTGCCCATTTTATGCTGCTATGTTTGACAAATTGAAGTCATTTTTAATACTCTTTTTCATAGAAGGTTTTAACTTTGGCAATAATTTTTTTTAAATAACCTGGCAGTAGCTTTTCTAGTCAGAATCCATTCTTGGGTAGATTGACTTATCTTTACTGAAGAGAAAATTAATTACTAAAAATGGATCAGAAGAGGCTCCCTTCATGCTTTTTACAAATGATTATTTTTAACTGTTTTATAGTCACCATTGTTCTGTCTACCCCTTTTTATAAGCTTGGAAAGTGGGTGTTGTGTATTGGAAAAAAGGCTTTGCCAATTTGTACAGTTGTGTATAGTGTGACAGTAGCAATCAAAGACTTTTACCAGCAATTTAAATCCTGTTTCCTTTGATGATTTAGGTTTCTTGCATGTACAGCGACACTCAGTAGCATGTGTGAAGTGTGAATTGTAATGTTGATCTTGAACTTTTTCTATTAGGATCCTTATTTTGCTCGGTTCTCTTCCACTGAAACATATTAATACCAAAAGTAGGATGGGAGGGAGTTGTGCAGACAATAATAGTGTTGTGTTGAGACTAGCTTGTGAGTGTTAGCACACAATGCTTTAAATTCCTAGTTTTTGACTGAGTTGATATAGCCACCACTGTGGAAGACTGGGATTTGGCCAATAATTGCACTCTGGATTTCTAATCAAAGGGTGGTATCACAGAGTCTTGTGAGCTTTTCAAATCCGGATTTTCAAGTTGACAATATGATACACCATTTAGATTGTCTTTCAGTGAAATAGAGCTTCTAATAACTTGGAAAATGTACATTTCCAAGAACATTATTCAGTTGTGTCAGAGTACACTGAAGTTAAGTCTTCAAAAAACAAACAAACAAAAAAAAGTTTTATATGCTTCTTCCAGAGCCGTGGGCGTGTCTGTGGGAAAGGGAATATGCAGTGTTTGTCCCCATTCAGAAAAATAAGTGAAGCAACTTAGTTCTGACGTCCAGAACTGAGATATTAGATTGCTTAAGTCTAAGTAAGGGTTTGGGGTTTTTTTTTTTTGTTTTTTTTGTTTAACTTTTCCTTGAGAATACCTCACTTGGATAATCAATATCAGGACACACAGGGAGGGAGAGTGGCCACTACTTTAGTTTGTCTGCTGCTTTTCTTTTCTTTTAATGTTCAGGGAGAAAATGCAAGAATTTTAACTCCTGCTGACCCAAACAAACGGAGAACTGAGGCACCTTGAAAAGAGTTTTAAGCACCTGTTTTAATGTGTAGCATTTTTTTTTATTGCACTAGGTAAGGACATGGTTTGAGAGAAAGAGAAAGTAAAAAAAAAAAAGGAGCATCTGTAGCATCTTGGGTACACCGGTAGCTGCCCTGGCACCTAGTACAGGTGGAGAAAAGGGATATATGTACCCACCTGTCTACAGGTGAGGTCCTCTTCCAAATCCCAGCCAGGCAGAATGAAAAACGGGCTTTCCAAAAGGTTTGTATACCTTCAGCAACCAAATCTGCTTTTGCTCCCATGCCCAGATCAAGATTGGGAAATAGGGCTGGAGGAGGACTTAAACCTCTCATCCTATCATTTGCCAGCAAAAGCAGATTTTGGGAGCCAGGTGGGATTCCCCATCGCCACTCAAATAGTAACAAAAAACAGCAACTAAATGAAAACACGCATTTTAAAGGGCTCAGTTAATTTTAGGTGTAGTTGGGCCCAAACTGTGAAGACAGGAAGCTTAACGAATCTGGGAATACTTTTTTCTGATTGGCTTATTAGGAACCTAGACTGTATAAAGTGTATAAGCTATATGAAATGGTTCTTTTTAAACATTTCTTATCATAGGAAAAAAAAAGAAGATTTTGATCGTATTTTTCATGCATATTACAGCCCACAACCCACATTGGTCTTTTGAAATCATCTGTATTTCAGAGAGATATCTAAGCAGGATTCTTTTTTAAGTGAATTATTGTCACAATGAATTTTATCAGCCCAAAAATGTTGATGAGAAAACTTTCTTGCCAACTTTTGCACTTTCTTGGAATTTTTCATGATTTCCACCCCCTCTTCCTTCTTGTCTCTGTTGAAAATTTTCCTGTGCAAAAAAATGTTCAGTCATCTCTTAGTTGCTGAACGGTCCAGTGATGTCATTTGGGTATGTTTCAGAGCTGAAAAATTCTATCAAAGCAGACAGCGATGAAGATCTTCAAACTAATAAAGGGAAGGTCTTGTTGATCCTTGGGAGACCTTTTTGACTCATTGGGACTGCCCCTTCCCCTGGGGATGAACTGAATGGTTATGCATGTGTCAATCAATGGGAAGATGTGCATTTTTTAGCTATAGTTCTTAAGGTTTTTTAGGGTTTAGTTTGGTTGGGGTTTTTAAATGTTGTTTTCTTTCCTTTTGACCAGTCTTCTCCAACTGTGTTGTCTTTGGTTGTTTTGGGCTACAACTTCCAGAATTTCAACTTGGTTGGAGACTCTTGGTTTATATTAAGCCTGCTGGCTCCTTTTTTTTTTTTTTTTTTTTTGCTGTTATGTCATGGGAGATTTTCAAATGTAGCAAATTTGAACTGTGGGCTGGAGGGGAATGGGCTAATAATTTGGACGGTAGTTCTTGGTGTTTATAGGAAAATCAAATGTAGTTCCTTCTGTAAGTCTTCTGCCTTTTTTTTTTTTTTTTTTTTTTTTTGCTTTTTTTTTTTATTTAGGTAAAAAAAAATTTTTTTTTTTTTTTTAAGTTTTTTTCTTTTTTTTTTTTTTTTTTTTTTTGAGCACTTTTATTCCAAAGAGGCTCTAAAAAGCTTTTGCTCTGTAACAGAGAGTCTTGCTTAACTTCTGTGACTTCTGGGCATTTTAAGAAGGGCATCCAAGGAGACTTCAAAATCAGATGCAGAAGATGTTCCATGTTTCTTTGATCCAGAGAAGTCGTTTTCTCCTACAGCCCTAATATCAAGAATCTTTGAGTGATGGGGAAAAGGGCGTGGCTCTTCTCACGACAGGTCACCCAAACCTCCGATCAGTTCTTCCCACTCCTGCCAAGAAAACTACCTTTGTTGATAATGCTGTGGGTCCTTTTTTCCCTTCTTGCTCGATGGCAAGGCAGTTCCTCTGTTTTCATTTTCGTAAAACAGAGTTCCGAGGGCATTGTATCAATACTGTTTCAACTGCAAGGTTTTTTCCCTTGTGCAAATTGAGGAAAGATCATAAGTGGATATCAATTAAGGGTTTCTTTATACCTTGCTATTGACACTTTCGTGATATTTCTATGTCTGGGGCCTGGACCTTGTACGTAAAACTTGTCGGCATATGTTCATTTTCGACTGATGTATTTTTCTTTTTTTTTTCTTTTTTTTGTTCGTTTGTTTCTATACTGTTAGACTTGTAATGTTATAAATTGTATTTTATTAAATTGGACTGGATGTATGTCTATAGCAATACGAGGTACTTTTTCTTTCAAAGAAACTCTGGGATGGGTAGGTAAACAGTGCCTCCCTCCCCCATTGCGATATGCTGGCTGTGTATAATTGCAATGTATTTTTTTTCTTTTTTTAGCCTGCAGGGATTTTGTGTTCATGTGTCCAAAAAAATAAAGGCATTTGTTGCCAAATGTTTTTTCTTCGGTGTGCAATAAAAAAAGCTTGTCTTTTATTTTTATTCAAAAACCAGTGTGCTACTGACAAGATTCATGATAGAAACAAGTGGCATGAAATGGAATTTTAAATAATATTATTTGGATGCCTGACTGTAAACCAGATGATTGAGAAGTTGAAATTTAGAATATTTAAGAACCAAGTGACATATTGGGTAAGAAGCAAAGAATGTTGCTAAATATAAAGTAAACATACTTGTGACAGAAACCTTGACTTTGATGGCATTTGAATCAATGTAACGGTAACACCAGATAATTTTTTTGTTATGGCTAACCTAAATAAGTTATCAACTATGTGACCTTGGCAGTCGAAGTAAACTCTAAGCAGAATTTACTGAGGAAGGCAATCGCAATAGCCAGCGAACTAATCCCTTCTCTTAGTTCATGATGTGCATGTAACTGGATAATAAATTTATTTTGTATTTTACATTCACATACTACATCTCTCCAGAGAGAAAACTTACCTTGGTCAAGATAAAACCAAGAGAAACCTTAGATAAAAATGAGTAAGAATTAAAATGCATAATAACATCAATAGAAATAGTCAACCAGTCTGATGATGAAGGAAGTACATGGTCTTTTAAGTGTGCTTAAAAAAGAGTTTTTGCCCCTCCCTCTAGTAATATAAAATTTTAAACCAATAATGAGAAATTGCAGTAGCTTGATAACACACAAAATGCTTTACACAATGCAAAATTATCTATAGTAGTATGATTCTCACCCAACTTGGATGTCTCCAGCCAAGATTTATTTGCGACTACACCTGTTGGTTTTACCCATCCATTTTTGGCACTTATGCTACGCAATCTTAATGCAAAGATTAAAGGATAACCTTCCATTCAGAGGTGCGACCAACCATATTTCTGGGCTAAAGTGGTTGAGGTAACACATGGAGAAATGTAGGTGCCCATTTTAAAATACACCCTCATGTTTGTACATTTGATTTTAAACTCTGCTTGTGACTTAATGTGAAGCAAGCCAAGTGATTTATCTGGTAAATTGGGTTACGCACAGAACACCTAACTTAGTGTTTAATTGAAGACTTTGCACCAACCTCTGGGCCCATTAAAAGTGGGCCCCAAAAGTCAGAATGGTAGCTTTGATGCATGTTCAAGCTGTCTTTTTAAAGTGTGCCTTGAAGCATTAAGAACAAGGCAAGGTATCAACAGCTATCTTGATTTTTTTTTTTTTTTGCCCCTACTGCAAACCCTCTGTGGGCACTAAGAAAGTTACAGTAGTCCTTTCCCTCTGGAAGACCTTATCCCTTGAGTTGAGGTGCACCTCAAGGTGATGAGGATGACCAAGAGACTTTGGTCTTCTTTTACAGCAACTATGATAGGCTTAGTTGTAGGGGTTAGCATCTTTGTTTCTAGTTGTATTGGTTCTACAGATGGATTTTAATGATTTCCTCCATGATTGCATTCCTGATCTTGCAAGCTAGCTAGAATCTTCAGTTAGCACCATAGAGACGTCCAAAAAAACATTCTGTCAACAATCTGAACCAGCTACATAATTAAACCTAGCCCAGAGTCACTGAGAGTTGGGCAGCCTACACATTTGATTAACAAACAAAACAAACTTAGGTGCCAGCAAGGTTTCCAATGTGGAAACTCGCTCCAAGAGATGCATGGTACTGTACACAGAAGAAACCCGGGTGACTTCCTTGTCCTTCCCTCAGATCTCCACTAAGGGGCACCGGTGGTGGATTCCTTTGTTGGCAACAGGAACAGAGGGAAAAAGGAAAAATCCATGGAATGGATCTCTGCTCTGGTTGCCTCAAATGGTGAAAGCACCAGATCCCTGTTGCAGCTGCTAAGGATCCATGCCATGGGGCAAAACCATTAATAGGACTAGTGTGGTCTAACAAAGCAAAAAAAAGTGAAGATTAGAAGATTTGAAACAAGATCACTCAAATCAGAATAAATTGAAACGGATTACCCTTCACCAACCTGTGCTTTGAAAGAACCAAAGAATTAACTAAAATTAATTAAAATTAGAGATGTAGAAAACAGGTAAAAAATGCCTTTACTACCTAGGGTTGAATGAAGCTATAGGGTTTAGCACTTCCTTTTTGATCCCCCTCTTGGGTATCTTAATAATATAACTTTATTGTCATTGTACGTGTATACCCATACAACGAAATTCACTTAACACCCAAAGACCAGGCCCAACACACATAACAGTCCCCAAACACCCCACCACCACAAATTCCCTACCCCCTAAATCCCCCAACATCCACACAGCAGACCAAGTAATGCTGTCCAACAGCTCACTGATGGTGGCCCTTTAGTTCATTGTTGAGTGCAATTATACCTCTGGGATAAAAACTATTCAGAAAACGTATGGTCCGAGTTTTAATTGTTCTGTATCTTCTGCCAGAAGGCAACAGTCCAAAAAGATTGTAAGCAGGATGGGAAGAGTCTCTGAGAATGTTACGCAACTTCCTCTAACAGCGAGATGCGAAGATGTCGTCCAGGGTTGGTAGCTGGAGCTTGATGATATTCTGGGCAGTTTTAATAATTCTCTGTAGAGCCTTTTTGTCTGCTACAGAGCTGCTCCCATACCATGCAAGAATGCCATATGTCAGGACACTCTCAATCTTCCTTTAACTACTATCTGCATACAGATATTTTTGCAATCAAGCGACCCTTTAAAGTTGCAACGGGACTAAAAAAGTGATTTATGCCCTTGGACTTTTGACTATTGCAGCATCCTTATGGTCACTCGATCAAAATCTGGGTGTTTGGCAACCAGCATGTATTTTCAAGGGTTGCAATGTCCCTGGAGTCATGTAATCGCCTTCTCTGTTGGCTTCTGACAAGCAAAGTCAGAGGGGAAGCCAGATTTGCTTAACGAATATGGTTCGCTTAACAACAGCAGCAATTCATTTAACACCTGTGGCAAAAGAAAAAGAAAAAAAAATTGGACATAACTCCTTAATGCAAGGTCAGGAATGAAAATTCTGGTCCCAGTTGTGACTGTAAGTAGAGAACTGTTTGTATCCTAAATTGTGTCACAGCACTGTATGAACCTCCATATTATTGGGATGCCTAGGGAACAGTCCATTTAGCTTCAACAATCCCTAGAACCAATCCACAGGTGGCACATGGAGCCATATCGGTAGGCATGCAAGCGTTGCCCTAGCTGAGTTCCGGCATGCATGCGCATGCTCGCCAGCTGATTTTCGGGCCTTCTGGGCCCACCGGAAGTTGGGAAACAGGCTGTTTTCGGTCTCCGGAGGGCCTCCTGGCGGGGTTGGGAGGCCATTTTTGCCCTCTCCAGGCTCCTAGAATGGCTCTGGAACCTGGGGAGGGTGAAAAACGGGCCTCCCGGACCCACTGGGCCAAAAGCAGGGGGAGCATGGGGGATTGTGTGTGCATAAGCGGGGGGGGGGGTTGGGCGCATTGAATCATGGGTGTGGGCATGCACGCATGTGACCTCCCCCCACGTTCCCCCCGCTTTTGGCACGTGACGGCAAAAAGGTTAGCCATCATTGGCCTAGAGTGTTTTTCAACTTTAAGATGGGCAGACCATTTCCCAGAATTCCCCACCACCTTGGGAATTCCCCAGGAATTCTGGGAGATGAAATTGCTGAGGTTGAAAAACCCTTTGTGTAAGCTCATTTTAGGGATGTTTTCTTTCCTTGCCTTGAGGAATTTAATTTCTTCGGCTTCCGATGGCTTCCGATTCCCTACATTTTCCCCCAATGCTGGTCCCTCCCGAAGGGCAGAGGGAGGCTGGCTGCATGCATCTGTTCCCAGTTCTGTGCATTTTGTGCAGAGGTTTCTCTCAGTGGTGAAATCCAAATTTGTTTATTACCAGTTCTGTGGGCGTGGCTTGGTGGGCTTGGTGGTGGTGGCTTGGTGGGTGTGCAGGGGAAGGATACTGCAAAATCCCCATTCCCACCCCACTCCAGGGGCAGGATACTGCAAAATCCCCATTCCACCCCTGGGGAAAGGATACATTCCTGGGGAAAGGATACTGCAAAATCCCCATTCCTTCCCCACTCCAGGGGAAGGATACTGCAAAATCTCCATTCCTGGGGAAAGGATACTGCAAAATCCCCATTCCCTCCCCACCTGGGAACATCCCTCCCCAACTCCTGGGGAAAGGATACTGCAAATCCCATTCCTTCCCCACTCCAGGGAAGGATACTGCAAAATCTCCATTCCTGGGGAAAGGATACTGCAAAATCCCCATCCCTCCCCCACCCCTGGGAAAGGATACATTCCCTCCCCAACTGGGAAAGGATACTGCAAAATCCCCATTCCTTCCCCATCAGGGGAAGGATACTGCAAAATCCCATTCCTGGGGAAAGGATACTGCAAAATCCCCATTCCCTCCCCCACTCCTGGGGAAAGGATACATTTCCTCCCCCATTCCTGGGGGAAGGATACTGCAAAATCTCCATTCCCACCCCACTCCAGGGGAAGGATACTGCAAAATCCCCATCCCCGGTTCTCCGAACTGCTCAAAATTTCCGCTGCCGGTTCTCCAGAACCTGTCAGAACCTGCTGGATTTCACCCGCGGTTTCTCTCCTGGCACCCCTTGGGTCCAGGAGCATCCTTCCCTCCGGCCTCGGAAGTGTCGGCTCTTTCGAGACTTTCCCTCGTCTCCTACCTCTTTGCTCAGCTTTCTCGCCTTCCCCCGCCCCTCCCCTCCCCTCCCTCTTCCCCAGCCTGCGGCGGCGCTGGTTGGATGGGCTGCCGCGCAGGCGCAATCCCGGGATCCCGGGCTCGTCCCGAGCAGAGGCTGCGGCTGCAGCGGCGCCCAGGTCCCGGTGCGCTTTTGGACGTGGGTCTCTTCGGCGGCGGCTCGCGCGCGCCCTCCTCCCCTCTCCCCGGTCCGGGGCGCCGCCCGCGTGGATGGGATGGAAGCGGGTCCCTCGGGAGCAGGTACCCTGCAAGGAGCCCGGGAAGGGCCAGCTCGGAGGGGCAGCATGCAGCCAGGAGGGGGGGTGGGGGGATGCAATCGGTCCGGGCGACTCCGGGAGCCCGTGCAATATATTGGGGGGGGGGGAATGAGGGGGAGCCCTCCAAAGGAGCAAGAGCCACGCGGGGCTTTTGCAAAGGGGAGGGGGCTTCTGGGCTTTGGAACCCGGGGGGGGGGCTTGGGGGGCGCCAGGGGCGAGGGCCAGGGTTGCGGAGGGCGCCAGGGTGGTCGAAGAACAATGGAAGGGGAGGGTGGGGTGGGGGTTGGGGTGAAAGAGGTTTGGGGGCTCGGGGGAGCCGGTGTGCAACGTTTGGGAGGGGGCTGGAGGCGAGGCGAGGCCCGAGCTGGACGTGAGGAGGGGGGAGGCAGGTTTGGAGTGGGAGTCTCTTAAGTTCCACCAGGCTGGCCGGGAGTGGGGGGGTTGGGGGGGGGTTGGGGGAGCGGATCTGCGAGCCTAAGGAGGGAAGGGGCTGGAGGGCAAGGGAGGCCTGCGAAGAGGAAGGGGAGGCCACGTGAATCTTGCAAAGGGGGGCTTGCCGAGTGCCAGGGGGTGGTGGGTGGTGGGGGAAAAAGATGCTCTGGGGCAGGGAGGGTGGGGGGGGGTGGGCCTTGTTGGAAGCAGATGTCCCGGAAAACTCCGAACTTGAATTTGGGGAAGGGGAGAAGAAGCCCTGGGGGGGGGTTTGAGACTGGCTGAGATTAGGGGTACTGTGGGGTCTGGGGGGGAAGGATGAGGGGCTCTGAAAAATAAGTGGTGTGCAAGAGACAAAATTGGGGGTGGGGGGGGCAAAGGAGGGGAGAATGGAAGAGATGGGGAAGGGAGCAGGAATCAGAAATGGGTCTGGGGGTGGGACTTGCTTTAGCTCTGTGGAAAGGCTGGGGGTAAGTGAGAGAGGTGGGCTCAGCCGCGGTCACCTTTTGCAGAAGAGACTCTTGAAGCATCAGATTTGTGGGGGGCGGGGGGGGGAAGAGGAGTGTGTAGCGGTGCCTCTGAGTACCAGGTGTGCGAGGAGACAAGGTTTATGGGGCCCTGCAGTTGATTTGTGGGAGTGGGGTGCAGAGAACAGACTGTGGACATGCTCGGATGAGGAGAAGTCATTTTGGCTGGTAGGTGTGTTGGAGAGATTAAACAACCCTTGAACAGGACACCTTGTTACTCATCGGTCCTTCTGGGTTGGTGGAATGAACGAGGATTTCCCCAGTTTTTGAGGGGGGAATCCCAAGGAGTTGTGACTCTCTTCACACATCCCACCAGAGACTGAGGCATCTCTTTGCACGGGACATCATGGCTGCCCCCCCATCCCCCGGCGCTGGGTGAGCCATGTCAGGTCCCATCTCACCTCCCATTTGCCACTAGGTCACAAGGACCAGGCAGGCTCCTAAGCCAAATGGACTTTTTTTTTAAAAAAAATTTGATTTATATGCCGCCCTTCTCCGGAGACTCAGGGCGGCTTACAATGCATTAAGCAATAGCCTTCATTCTTTTGTATATTTATACAAAGTCAGCTTATTGCCCCCCACAAACTGGGCCCTCAATTTACCTACCTTAGAAAGGATGGAAGGCTGAGTCAACCTTGAGCCTGGCGAGATTCGAACTTACTTTAATTGCAGACAGCTGGTGTTAAATTACAGTGCTTAGTCTGCAGAGCTATCCAGGCATTCAACAGAACCCAAGGTTCCAAGCTAGAATGAAATTTATTATGGGATGCCTTAAGGGGGAGGATGAACCCACTTCTGTAGCTCCTAACCCGGTTTTAGCAGCCTGTGTTTGCGTTCATACAGCAGTTTAGTGTGTTGTGGGGATTCAGTATATCAATATACAGTCTAGTACAGTGTTTCTCAACCTTGGTAGCTTGAAGATGGGTGGACTTCAACTCCCAGAATCCCCCAGCCAGCGCTGCTGGCTGGGGCATTCTGGGAGTTGAAGTCCACCCATCTTCAAGCTACCAAGGTTGAGAAACACTGGTCTAGTAAGTGGGGAGCCCCACTTTCATTGAAACTAACATCCTCTATCTGGAATTCTCTGAAAACTATAGACTATAGACCAGGGGTCTCCAAACTTGGCAACTTTAAGACTTGTGGACTTCAACTCCCAGAATTTGCTGGGTGAGGAATTCTGGAAGTCCACAAGTCTTAAAGCTGCCAAGTTTGAAGACCTCTGACTTAAAGCAAAGGTCTCCAGCCTTGGCACAACTTTTAAGATTTGTGGACTTCAATTCCCAGAATTCCCCAATTCTGGGGAGTTAAAGTCCACCAGCCTTAAAGTTGCCAAGTTTGGAGACCCCTTTTGTAGACCCATCAGTTTGGGAAGTCCTGAGATCGTTACTTCCAAAACATCAGCAGGTACATGGCGGACAGCAGTTTTCAAGGAAAGAACCAAGATGGATAAGTGAGAAGACAGAGTGTGACTCACCTTTGGAGGCTCTTTCTGGATGAAGGGAGATGTTTGAAAGGACTATGTGGTCCTTTGGAGGTTCGCTGGGGAAATATCAGAGAGGCTTTGATGCCCAACTTGTGTCAGAGCTGTGACGCGTATCTGAAAGGGGTATGCAGACGGGTAAAGGTTCCTGTTAGGGGTGCCAAGGGCAGCTGAGGGTGGGTTGCCTTCTCTTCATCTCTCTTCCCCCTTCCCAAGAAGAGCAAAGGGGTTTGCAACTCTCATTATAAAGTGTGTGTGAGTAAATGCAACAGAAAGTAAATTGTGATGGAAAGTAATTGTGACTTAAAGAGGAGACAGGAAAAAGGGGGAGAGAGACACAGGACAGGAGCTGGGCGAGGGCAGTGGGTTGTGTTTTTTTTTTTTTCTTTGTGTGCCCAAGCTGTGACCTCCAGGGTTTGTAGTGGTATTTCTTTTTTTTTTTTATCGCCTCTTTAAAAAACAAAACAAAACGGAACCAACGTCCTCCAGATTTCCTTTAAAGAAACTCTGCCCCCGGCATTTCCAAGCTGATGAGGAAAAGATGAGAACATGTGTGCTTTTTGAAACTTTCTCAGAAGAAGGATTTTAATGGTCAGTATGTGTATGGAAATTCTCAAATCATCCAGGTTGTCCCACAGCTGCTTTTCCAGAAGGCAACTGGACTTCCTTGGTTTTACTTCCTTTGAAAATGTTTTACATCTCATCCAAGGAGCTTATTTAGTAGTAGTAGTAGTAGTACTTCTTCTTCTTCTTCTTCTTCTTCTTCTTCTTCTTCTTCTTCTTCTCTCTTCCTCTTCCTCTTCCTCTTCCTCTTCCTCTCCTCCTCCTTCTCCCTCTCCTCCCTCTCCTTCTCCTTCTTCTCCTTGGCAATTCAAAGATTCATTGGTTTATTTTATTGCAGCATAATGTTTTACAGGCAACACAGCTACTCCATATGATTCATGAAATGGATTTATAAAGTGGCAAATATATACATACGAAAGGCACCTTTGGGTTAATTGTTGGTGATTCAACTTATGGTTTTTAGGCTCTTAAGAGTATATTGGGGTGGTTTTGAGAGATTTGTGAGAAACTTGCAAACGACTTTGTGATTTTTCAACCTTCTTGTCTTTACTAAAGGCCAATTGGGATGGTGAACGTGGGAGTGATGCACTGTACTAGGTCATAATACTAGTTGCTTGGTTCTGGCTTAATGTGCTATGTAATGGCAACTCTGGTGGTTGTAACCTATTGCGAGAACTTTGCCAATGTAGGTTTATAAACTTATTTATGGCTTAAAGCAGAGGTCTTCAAACTTGGCAGCTTTAAGACTTGTGGACTTCAGCAGTGTTACACCCTGATAAGGCGGGCCTTCCCTCTGTTGTGCATGCATTGTACATCACACAAACGCTTCAAGAGGTGAATTTTGCGTTGCAGGCTATTGCATTCATCATTTTGACAAAAGAGGGGGGAGGGGTCAGTGTCTGCAAATGCCTGACTGGTGTCATCTAGTGCATTCTCAGTGAATTATAAGGCATGCCTTTCATTTTTAAACATGCATTATTTGAAGCAGACAAACTACCCTTCTTTTTTGAATAAAGAAGTTTCACATTCTGCGAAGAAGGCGTTAGGAAACCCGCTTTCAGTGATTGATGAGAAAACTACAGAGATACGTCTGTGTAGTCACCAGTCCTTCATCCCAACACAAGGAGTCTTTTATCATTTTTTTTTTAATTCAATATTCAGAAGGTTCACGAGAGCATTTCAAATCAGCTTTTTATAACCCGCTGCACTCTCGATACGTTGGACTTCAAATCCCAAAGTTCCTAGCAAGAACGGCCATATGGACTGTGAATTTTGGAAGTTTTAAGTCCCTCAAATTTAGAAGGGTAGCAGATTGTGGAAACTTTGTTGGTCCGTAACTCGTTTAGCTTCTGACACCAATTCTAGTGTATTTGTGGTAGATTTTAATGCCTTCGTTTGACGGAAAAGGTTTTTAAACCATGAAAATTTGTTAATGGCTATATTTAAGCTGTGCTAAATATGTTGACAATTTTTATTCAGTTAGTTTGGGGAAAACGGTTTCATTTAAAAACCTCTTATAAGAGAAAAATAAAATAAAATAAAATAATAAAGCAACAGTTTTTATCCTGTTTTTAGCATGCAGTAGAACTAATATTTTATGCCATTCGAAATATATGGGTGCTATGTGGGAAGCTCCTCAACAACCATTAATTTGACATTTATATTTTATGTCCGAGGTATAGCCTATTGTCCTTTAATACAGCTAGTCCTCGACTTACAACATTTAGTGACCATTCAAAGTTACAATGGCATTGAAAAATGTGACTTATGACCACTTTTTCACACTTATGACCATTACAGCATCCCCATGGTCATGTGATTTACATTCGGATGCTTGACAACTGCTTCATATTTATGACGGTGATCCTCTTTTACAACCACCTGACATGCAAAGCCAATGGGGCAGCCAGATTCACTTAACAATTGTGTTATCAATTTAACAACTGCAGCGATTCCCTTAACAGCTGTGGCAAGAAAAGT